CCTTTCCAAAATCCGTTTGTTGGTACATATTAGCCCGCTGATTACGACAAACACAAAATGTTGGACCGGTGCGCTGTATCAAAAGAGTTAGAACTTTCCAAATGTCGAAGCTGCTTAGGTATGGTGTATATGAGGTATGGGTCGCATTTTCTTCATCCTCGACTCATTTTCATATTCCATATTCAGCGGACTCTGTACATTGGACCGGAACTTTCCAAATACACGAAGCGTATTTCTCTTTTTATTCTGCGATTTTCCACAACGATTGTACACTAGCTCGCACTTGTTCCGACATCAGCGCCCGCACCTGGCTGAAAGCCGGCCGGTCTTCGCCGTCACCAGCTGACAGGCAGCGATCCTCGGCCGTCGCCAGCTGACAAGCAACGATCCTCGACCGTCACCAGCTGACAGGCAACGATCCTCGGCCGGCACCAGCTGACAGGCAGCGATCCTCGGCCGTCACCAGCTGACAGGCAACGAACCTCGGCCGGCACCAGCTGACAGGCAACGATCCTCGGCCGGCACCAGCTGACAGGCAGCGATCCTCGGCCGGCACCAGCTGACAGGCAGTGATCCTCGGCCGGCACCAGCTGACAGGCAGCGATCCTCGGCCTTCGCCAGCTGACAGGCAGCGATCCTCGGCCGGCACCAGCTGACAGGCAGCGATCCTCGGCGGGCATTGTCGCCGGCTCAGCCCGTTCCTAGCGCTCGCTGCTCACTACAGCGTAGCTGACCGGACACCGGATTGGACGCGCCAGCGGCCGCTGCCAGCGCAGTCAGTCTGGCGCCGGCGGCTGCGCATGTGGCGTTCACTGATGTAAGAGATCTGTGGGGGTCGCCTATGTAAGGGGCATGTGGTGTTCACCGATGTAAGAGGTCTGTGGGGGTCGTCTACGTAAGGGGCATGTGGTGTTCACCGATGTAAGAGGTCTGTGGGGGTCGTCTATGTAAGGGGCATGTGGCGTTCGCCGATGTATGAGGTCTGTGGGGGTCTTCTATGTAAGGGGCATGTGGCGTTCACCGATGTATGAGGTCTGTGGCGTTCACCGATGTAGGAGGTCTGTGGAGGTCGTCTATGTAAAGGGAATGTGGCATTCACCGATGTAAGAGGTCTGTGGGGGTCGTCTATGTAAGGGGCATGTGGCGTTCACCGATGTAAGAGGTCTGTGGGGGTCGTCTATGCAAGGGGTATGTGGCGTTCACCGATATAAGAGGTCTGTGGGGGTCGTCTATGCAAGGGGCATGTGGCGTTCACCGATGTAAGAGGTCTGTGGAGGTCGTCTATGTGAGGGGCATGTGGCGTTCGCCGATGTAAGAGGTCTGTGGGGGTCGTCTATGTAAGGGGCATGTGGCGTTCGCCGATGTAAGAGGTCTGTGGAGTTCACCGGTGTAAGAGGCCTGCAGAGTTTACCGATGTAAGAGGCCTGCAGAGTTAATCGACGTAAGGGGCGACGTTCACCGGTGTAAGGGGCTTGTGGAGTTGCCGATATAAGATGCTGTGGAGCTCACCGATATAAGAGGCCTACGGAGTTCATCGACGTAAGGGGCTTGTGGAGTTCGCCCCGACGTAAGAGGCCTGTGCAGTTCGCGGCCAGGAGAGACCTGTGGAGTTCGAGAACATAGGAGGTCTGTGGAGTTTGCCAATGTAAAAGGCCGTGGAGTCCGCGGGCATGAGAGGCCTGTAGAGTTTGCGGGCATAAGAGGCCTAAGTGGAGCTCCCCAATATAAGATGCCGCGGACCTCACATATGCAAGAGGTACGAATGGCTCCCACGAGTTGGTCATCAGTCGTCAAAATACAATTTTCGCCTGACGGAGTATTTTAAGATGTGACTTGGAACTGCCGCATCTCTGAGCGTTCGAAGGCCCTTGCACGTACCTCTGCTACGCGCAGTGAGCACTTTATAGCCAAGTTTCTCCTGACCTTCCCGCAGCAAATCCTGGCCGCAGAAAATGCCTACACGTGATCTGTTGTTGCCTGTACAAAACGTGCTCACAACGGCTCAGCGGCGTAATCAGGATTTTGTCCAGGAGGGAATCAAATGAGATAACAGGGGTCGTAGGAAAGAGCACACTTTTTGTTGCTAAATGCACTCTTTATGCGGGGCACTTCTCAAGCCCGGAATCTGATTTTAGTACATCAGGAGCCAGTTTTAAATGCTGAGAAGTGCTGATGAGAAGCCCTTTGGACGTTTTGACAATCGGAAAGTGCAGCGGTCCTCGGCTCCAGGGGCTCCACCACTCCCATGGGTGGGTGAGGTGGGGGAATAACACCAAAAGCTTTCCCTCGGCCACACCACTGCAATGGCGCGGCCGTTTATTTTTCGGTATATCGCTGAACTTAAGCTTGTGTCTTAGATCATAACCTCAGATAAATCTCATGCCACCGTTTGAAACCATCCACACCTATTTAGCTGCTAGTCCATGACCGATATTGCCTTAAACAAGCTCAGGCTGACTCACCGTCACACTAGCCTTTTGACCCGAGCGCAGTGTATGACGTCACTTTGGCGTGGTCGGCGTGCATGACGTCATTTTAGCCTGGTTGGCGTGGCAGCTGCGACTACGTGGAAGTCAGCAAGGTTGTGTCGAATGCAATTCGGGAAGATATAAGACCCCCTTTTAGCCACCATGTTTACCATCATGTGTACACCAATCCGGTCTATGAAACCTACATAATCGTCTGGCACTGCCGCAGCTCAATGTTTCAGCGTTCGTTTACGTTACCGCCCACGGCTTGCCTTCCATCACCTTTTTCGCGCCTTCGTTGTCAGAAACTGCTATTTTGAGGGCCTGCTAACCCGCACTTGAAACCGAAAGTGTTATCGTCGATTTAGCTCTGCTCAGTTCTAAGCTTGCAAAGCCGGGAACCAATCATTCCCAACCGGCCTGCTTGCTCACCAGCACTGATGTGCGCTCCCTGCGTTGGTAAGCTGGCATAGGTGACGCTGCTGACGTGTCAATCACAATGAAAGGTGGCAGCACCGCTGATGAGCCGGCATACCAGCCCCGCAGGTCTGGGGGAGTAGGAGCCCGCATCTCGAACGGTGTTTGTGCACAGTTTGTCCCAGTCCAAGCTGCCGGGCTATAAGCGATTTTGAAACCAGCTAGCAATAAAAGCAATAAGGGGCGCACGGGCCCCCCTCCCTTTACGCTTGGTTTTCCGTTTTCACCCCAAATGACTCCCGACCGAAGCATGAAGATCACTGTTAGGCGTACTAACCTAGTTCAGCCCCCCACCCCCATCCCTTTAGACCATCCTGACTGCGCACCTGATGATAACGGACTGAAGTTCTTCGTAGAAGCAGTCTAGTTGCGGTATTATCACACTTTTTTCCTTTCTCCTTGGTCGCAGTGCCCAGGAATCTGCATACAGGCTGGAGGAGGATCATCCAAATCTAAACCAAAAGCAATCAGGTGACAAGAGTGTAACTTGTAAGGAGCCGCGCATCGACGTGTTGCGCTTGGTTTTGGTGCGTGTAAGCGGCCCACAACAAAAACCAAAGTTGCCTCGCATGCTATTAATCAATTAATTATGTAATAATTGCCCTATCTATGACCTGGACCATTGCATCTGGTCCGTCCGGTCACAAGGCGCGGATAAAATGCGCCATTAATGTGCGACTCGGAAATCGCTCATCTTGCGGTATCAACGCCCATTTGACCGTTTGCCGCCCTCAAGAGGCAAATACTGTAGGGGAGGTCTCAACGTGTCATGGCTGGCGCAACCTGAGAATGTCCCGCAACACACAGTAGTTTTGTGAGACAGGCTTGGCCCTGGCGTAGTGACGGGACTGACGGGCGAGGAGCTGGATGACTGGCGGAGATCGATGGCTGGCGGAGATCGATGACTGGCGGAGATCGATGACTGGCACGTGCGCCGGCAGCGACCATGTTGCCGTTCTCAAGCTCAGTGGTAAAGCCTAACACTCGCTTGGAATGGAAGCGACAGACAAACGACAGATCAGCGCGTGCAAACATGAACGAGAATTGAACATCTACCATGTTTATCCCCGGAAATGAGGAAACTTGATCGTTTGACTAATACTCAAGTTTTGTTTCGTTAACCACCTAATCAATATGCACAGAGCTGCCATGCTTTGATATTCTGTATACTTTCTCCGCCCCAGCCTTTGGCCTCCAACTGGCAACTGTCTTCCTATGCCCCCCCCCCCCCCCCACTCCCCAACCCGCTTTTGCCGCTCTAGCTCTGCCTGCAATAAAATGACAAGTTTGATTTGTCCTGACCTAAAAGATATGTGCGTTCCGGCTGACATGTGAGAGAGATCCAGGCTGCATGTAAATGGAACAAACTTGCCTCAAGGCTGTGCGGAGGGCTCAGATTTGGTTCCGCAGAAGCTCGCGCGGTCCAGTATTCGTTTTTGGCACGCGAAATATTGGCAGCAGCCGTCGGCGGTGCGGGTTTATCGCCCCAGCCAGAAAAATGAGCTTATCTGACGTCATCGGACGCTGGCATCTTGCCAAGCCTTGGCGACGGACAGGAGACCTAGATGACTAGCGGACTAGAAGTCCGATGCAAATGTGGAACACTCTCTAAGAGGGTTGCTCCTTTAAACATATGCCACAACTTATCGCATCTTGAATTATTCCTTGTCATGTGCTTCTATGTCTGTCCGCGCCCCGAAAACATGTTTTTCTTTGCCTGCTTAGAACCCCAAACCTTTTACACGAACTGTGCCCTTCTGAATATAGGGGTGGGAAAAATATATTTTTGATGAGAAGAAATTGCTGTGTCCATCGACTTGCTCTCTTCCGGCCCAAACAGAAGAGGTATTTTGGAAAGTCTCGCCCAGGTAACCCCTGCAGGGAGACCCATTCCGGAAAGAGAGGCCTCTTGAGGCCTCTTGCAAAACTCCACTCCAACTCAAAATCCTTAGCGCCACCACTGGATAGTGGAGTTTTAAGAACAGTGATGTTATCGGGTCTGTGTATCTGGTCAAAGCTGTCTTATTTCGTTGACATCACAAATCATTCCCGTTGTCACTTGAAAATGAGGTTGATTAACAACATCGCAACACCTTCAAACATAACACCTCCAGAATAACACATGAAGAACAAGCAGACCTCATGATTCAGCCCACTACACACATGGAACATACGATGCACGCATTTGACCATTTTATTTCACGTAAACCTTGACCGCTGGACAGTATGAAGAGGACGTCACCCACCTTTACATATTGGCCGGAGACGAAAACAGCACGGAAGCAGTTATTAAAAAAGAAACGCTTTCACATGCAGATGATCCCGACTTCTCAGCATCATCTTGTGCCGTCTCGTTCAGACAGAAGTGACCAAGACCACCAACGACGAGACGCATTACGATATGGCGCCAGACGTTCGCACAGTCACACTGGTTCGTGCAGCCGTATCATTGGCACAACAGGGAAAAAAACGCGTGCACGTACAAACACCAGGCTGGCATGTCATGCCAGGCCCAAAGCTAACCCGAGGCAACTCGGCGAGGATAAAAACGACGGACGCCACGCAGCGTTCAGTGCGATTTTTGATGAATGTGAGCTACACCAAGCTTTGGCTTCTGTACCTGCCGCTTTGAAGTTGAGCGACGACGTCAGTGACGTCGTTCTGATGTCGCGCGATTACACATGTATGTGACCATACTTGACGAACACACTGAGCCATCACGTTACTTTCACAGTTACCGGGACCGAACTCTGATATGACAGAAATCCAACACACTTTGATGCTTCTTTTTTGGGGACAGCACATTAACGCAATTAGGCCAAGGATTGCTGGAATCCATACCTCGCCGTCCCCAGCGGAGGCGACGTCCTGGCAAATCACGTGATATTTTATGACCAGGTCGAGCGGCCCTGGTTATCTTCGTCCTCAGGAGACATCGGGAAATGTCAGACGAGTCATGTCCGCTTTAACGGCATGAAACAACACACTTACACATGATCTACGCATGAACACTGAAATAATTCACGACACTGAAAAATGATGCATTATGGAGGCTCACGTCGCTTCCTCCGATTTGTGAATAAGTAAGTTCCACCGATAAACACCTTTATCACAGAAATAAAACTTCGTTCGCAAGCGGCATACGTCACAAAGTTTTACACAGTAAGAATTGTTTTTTGAGGTCACTTCCGCTGAGGGTCGCCGACAAAGGCTCGTATTTTCGCGTGGTCCCAGATCAACACAAACCAAACACACTGGGATTATACTGTCTGCAATGCAATGTCACACAGACCTAGCGACGTGGCGCAAAAGTGACGTAGCGACCGGGCGCAAAAGTGGAAGGCAACAGCAATACGACTAGCGTATTGCCAAACGCTAACAACACAACTGCTCGTGACATGCGTAGCGATAAATGAATTTGGAATATATCAATGCAGCGTTTGAGCTTTATCACAACACAGACATGCCGCAATCGTGAATGAAACGTCAATAACACGTGGATCTAAATATGATAATGTGATCTAAACCTCACGTCGAGGCGCCCTCCTTATGAGTAAGACATTCGCCTTGGTCTAAGCTCGCATAGCGCATGCGCATGTCGACGATGGTGACTCGGAGAAAGTCATCGCAATCTGTTATGAATGATGTGATGCGGAGAAAGCCATCGCCATCCGTAGAACTGGTGCAAAAAGACCAGCCAGGCGATAGGCATAAAATGTGGAGCCTAGAATGGGCAGAACACATGATGTACAAGTACCGTCGAACAAGTCGCGGAGCTTACGGAGCCTCGCAGGCACGAGGTCATGTGACAGGATCAGCAACAGATTCTGCGGCGAGTTCTGTGGCAGAATCTGCGGCAGGTTTCACGGCAGGCTCTGCGGCAGAATCTGCGGCACATTTTACGGCAGGCTCTGCGGCAGGCTCTGCGGCAGTTTCTGCGACACGCTCTGCGACACGTCCAGTCGTTCTTCCCCGAGACGTCCTGCGATGGCTCATGAGAAGGTGCAGTCGACGCTGAAGTCGGTCGTGTAGACGTCCCACGTGTTCGGCTTGTGCGGGTTATCCAGGTCTTCCCTCTTCAGGATCAGCCTGGAAGGAGGCGCACAAGTTCGTCAGCGTCGACAGACTCTAGCTCAGGGAACACAGGCCAGCCTGTGGTTAAATACTAATTGACGATGCACACGCAAGTGCGGAAAATTATTTGCTCTGTAATAAGCAATTACGTTACTTTTAATCATTCATGTCTACATAGCTATTGTCCTGCGTTTCATACAACCTTGCAACTTCTCGTTTTTCCTGAAGTGTATGTGAAATGCAAGCAGGCTATACCATTACCGTATTAGAATTAGGGGCGGATTCAGAGCGGCCATGTTATGATCCCCCCCCTCCCCCCGTTCTTGGATGCGCATGACTTTTTAGTTTCCCGAATGAGACATCAAAATATCATGGTGGCAGGGCAACAAAACATTCATTTCGAAATCATTATTTTCAAGGGCGCTAGGCTCATTTTTGATTACCCTTACAACCGTTTAGCTAAACGTTTTGAGAATTTAAGTAAGTAAATTTTCACACTAGCAATCATGTTAGATAAATTTGACGAAATGGGGCAGCTCAGTGAGTGTATGTTATGCGCAAGCCATTATTTAACCAAAACTTTAGATCAATACGGAGGGGCAATATTGAAATACCCATCTACTAGGTTCTCAGCTGCTTGCCATGTGACACGACTAAGTTATTAGTGAATAACTTGCTAAACTCAACATTAAACAACTAAACAACTAAACACACCAAGTTATTAGTGACTAACTTGCTAAACTAAACACTAAACAACAAAACACACTAGTCTGACTTGGCGTGTTTCGAGCACGCTGGCCCCTTGTCAAAGTTAAAATGGCGACGTGGTATCCCCTGCATCAGAATGAGTGAACAAATGTCACTTCTGTATCAACCGGGAAATATTTCTAGACACAGGTGCCCCCAGAATGGCAAAAATGCAGAACAGAGCGAATACACGTGGCATGATGGTCCGCTTAGAGAAAACCTGTTTTTAATCAACTACCGCCAAGCAATTAAATCAATTTTACCAGTATAGTCAAAAGGAATCATGTTGAAACACACTGCGCATTGCAGAAGCAGCCAGCCCAGTACGTACTAGTGATACAGTTTTGTACCATGATGATTTCGCTCCATCACCGACGCCTACCAAGATGCACAACAGGCTTAGAACTGACAGTTTGCCTGCTATCGACACAGATGTCACGGCTTTCAATATGGTCAAGACCAACGTGGATACCGGCGGGGCGCAGGAGTACATCACCCCAGGACACGTCCATTGCTCCAGCGACGTCACCACCGATTTGGCACCGGCTCTCGGAGCCTGGCGCCGCGAGCGCGCGTCCCACGTCGACATCCGACATCATGTGTGAGTTTGGGGATTTTTTTGCCGACGAAATGCGCCGAAATCTAACAACATTTTCGTACGAATCGCAAAAGCGAAGTGAAGTGAAGCTCTCGCGTGCTCGTAAAACGTCGATTTACGATCAGTCCGTCTCAGCATAAAAAAACATAGGAAATAGCTGATCAGGCTGATCAGGAAACTGGCCGATTAATATTGGAGCCACGACCTAGACTTTGCCCTTCAGGCCGCTTGGAACCTGTGTATGCAAACCCTGTTAATATATTTTGATAATGAGTTACTTTATCTTCGTTATCGACTTCTTCAGCGTATTTATTGGTATTATATTATTCTTCGAATAGCATAGTATTAATTGCAAATGATTCCTTACCTGCTATCTGACACGAAGCCTGTGTGAAACCAGAAGTAGAACGCCACGTTTTCGTAGCCCCTGGGTACGTTTCGCTGTAAAATAGGAACGTTTGAGATACTGGAGTGTGGCGTGCTATCTCGTGACAAAAAATACTAACAAACAAATGCATGCATCTGACGCCGGTGACCAGCATGCCGGAATGGGACGCTTTACCTTTCACGTAACGCAATACCAATAAAGCAAAGATATATAAATTTCAATAAAATGTAATTAAGTATGGTCAACAAAGGCTGCACCTGTGCGCATTGCGACCGTAAATTAGAAAGCCTATTTTATCCGGCAGACTTGCGAAACGTTTCAAAATGTTTAAACTGTATTTAAAAACCGGCTGAAACACCACCGAGACCACAACACAGCGCGGCTTATGGCTAGCTGATATTCAACACGCTGTTAGGCGCTCTGTGCGTTCGTCTTTGTCCAAACTGCACCAATGGTCTCCAAACTCACCGAGGAGCACTTGAACTTGACCTGCACGTCCCCGGTGAGGACTGGGCAGTCTGTCAGGGTGACGGTGGCCGCGTCACACGACTTGTCGTACGCGTGCTGAAACGCGGCCGCCCGTCACACATCCGCGGGACGTTCGCTCGGGCGGGAAGTAAAGTAAAGTAAAGTAAGGTAAGGTAAAGTAAAGTAAAGTAAGGTAAAGTAAGGTAAAGTAAAGTAAAGTAAGGTAAAGCGAATTCGACACTCTGGCGTTGGTGAACGACCCGCCGCCACCTGTCAATGGTGCGGTTGATGCGATTTTCGCCACTGGCGGCACCAGCAGGAATACGAGATCTTCCACAGAATGATCACTTCTCTAAGCGTCTGACAATAGATCTCAAATCACAATCACCAATTGTCTGTGGTGATTGACACACACACACACACTGTGACATAAGTCGTCACAGCTTTCACGCGAACGATACTCAGAGGCGCGGCAGCTCACAGACCAAATTGTTATTGTCATTTATCACTGTATTATTATTACTATTATACTATTGTATTATTTATTACTATTATGCTATTATATTATACTATATGTATTATTATTACTATTACAATATATAGTAATATATATATATATATATATATATATATATATATATATATATATATGTAGCTTATTATATCATCATGATATAACATATATCATTGTGATTGATTTGGAATAGCAGCCGCTTGGTCCAAATGATAGGCTCGACGAGTTGTTCTCCAAGTTGACGGCCGTATCAAACGCATATACAAAAAGCAAGTGCAGGCGCCTCCACAGCTGTAAGTGATTTAGCGTTGGACTCAATGGTCACTACAGAGCAGAAGCGGTGTTCTGGCAGGCGCCAGTGACACAGCTATGCGTCTACAGGAGCGCATCGCCGGACGCCTTCTACAAGGTGTCTGCAAAACCAGCGGAAACCGCTCGACCTTCTCTAGACGCAGCTTTGCCCAAACAGCAAGGACTTTAAAACATAAGGATAAGAACAATGAACAAAAGCAGGTAGCGACGGTGAAGGAAGCTAACTGTATTGGTGGGGTCATCGGTAGGTACATAGTCACTACACCCGCAATATATTGTATTTATGTGCTATTTTCACCTGTAGCATTTATTTGGTTATTTGCATCTGTAGTAAATGTATTCCCAGCTGTAGTTTTGTAAGTTGTGAAGTGCATTTGCGGGGAACATGCATGCAGATAAGACAGTATTATTGAACCTGTTTCTCCTACAATAACAAGTAGAATGGGCAAACAGATGTCTTGACGTCTCCGCCACTTGTCTTTATCGAAAAGAACATCAGAAGTTATCACAAGCAGTAGTAGCAGTAGTGGTCTCTACTGATATTCGTTTCGATAAAAGCATGCAACTGAAACATAGATGTATGTATTCGCCCATTCTCCTGCCTGTTCTAGGAAGAATAATGCAACTGCTACTGTCTCATCTACCTGTAATTTTCAATTAAGATGGTGAGTTTTACATGAGGGACTACGCTAGGTAACATGAGAGATTTCAAAGGGCGATGCAGCAGCCAAAAAATGACACTGAACGCCAAAGTTCCAAACTAATCGTGCTGATTCGTCCAAGCATTGCGACTACAATGAAGTGGATGGATGCCTTCAGCAACAAACTTTCGTAGAAAGCTATTTCCAGCGTTTGGAAGGATGCCTCGAGTTCAAATGTTTCTGCCAAGGGACGTTTGTTGCGGTTGCTCTACATCTACATCCTACAGAGTTTTACATGAGGGACTACGCTAGGTAACGATGAGAGATTTCAAAGGGCGATGCAGCAGCCATATACAAATGACACTGAACGCCAAAGTTCACAAACCTAATCGTGCTGATTCGTCCAAGCATTGTCGACACTACAATGAAGTGAATGGATACCTTCAGCAACAAACCTTTCGTAGAAAGCTATTTCCAGCGGTTTGGAAGGATGGCCTCGAGTTCAATGTTTTTGCCAAGGGACGTTTGTTGCGGTTGCTCTAAATCCGCCACCCATCATTGGTCGGTCTAGTTCACCGGTTACGCCCGTCTCCAGCCTTTTTGCCCCACGTGATGGTGGATGGCTTTTACGAGTACCACCATGCTGGGACATGGCAGCCCCAGGCAAGTCGACCCTCTCTGGCTCGATTGCTTATCCGAAATCTTCCCAAAAAGCTTTAGAAAAGCTGAATACCTGAACGCAGCATGAGCAGATTTAGCTCCAAACCGGCCCGGAACGGGAAAACCCGAAACGGAAACCAAACCGGATGACAGGCGCACATCACACACAACGGCCGCTCTCGCATGCAGCGCAGACGAAACTATTTGGTGCAAATTCGGATTCCCTCAGATGTCCTCAATCACTTTCGGGGAGCACGTGAGTTGCTGGACTTTTAAGGCTATCACTTCAGAAACGCAGGAAGACTGGTTGTACCTGTAACAGCTGACTGCTACAGGCTGAGGAGAAGCTCAAAAATTGTCATGGGAGCAGAGATGCCGCCTTCGTGTTAATACCACCTGCGTAGTGTGGGCAGACTTTACTCATATCCCTTACTCCAACTGCTGTGGTTTGTAGGCTAGATAGTAATGTTTTCATCTGCCCGTTACCATGTCTTATTATGTATCATGCTTAATTATAATAATACTTATTTACGAAGCGTTGTTCTGAGCTCGAGATCACATATCATCGCTGATAATAAATACCACCGATCGACCCTACAGGGCTGCCGTCACTCCACCGATCGACCTTACAGGGCTGTCGTCACTCATCCAATCAACACACAGTACCACCGATCGACCTTGCAGGGCTGCCGCCACTCACCCGGCCAACACTCACAATACCACCGATCGACCCTACAGGGCTGCCGTCACTCGTCCAGCCAACACTCACAATGCATCCCTTGCCGAGGGCGCAGTTCGCTTCGAACAGCCTGCCCGTCCTGCTGGAGACGACGACGCTGAAGTCGCTGCCGTCGCCTCTCCCGACCGTGTGCATGCCGCTGATAACGATGCGCGTCAGCAGCCGCGGCGTCTCCGGCGGCAGGTGATGGCGGTTGTTCTTCATCCACTCGTAGTAGCCCACGTAGCGACTCTGCGGCACCCGGCGCGTTCAACTGACCGGGGAGTGGGGGCAGCACCATCGCGGAGACGGGCTCGCCCTCACACGTGTCTCTCATCCTTATACGTATCTTTCACCCTCACAAGTATATTTTACCCTCGCATGTGTCTCTCACCCTCATAAGTATCTTTCAACCTCACGCCTGTCTCTCACCCTCACGTGTGTCTCTCACCCTCACACGTGTCTCTCATCCTTATACGTATCGTTCACCCTCACAAGTATCTTTTACCCTCACATGTGTCTCTCACCCTCATAAGTATCTTTCACCCTCACGCCTGTCTCTCACCCTCACCTGTGTCTCTCACCCTCACACGTGTCTCTCATCCTTATACGTATCTTTCACCCTCACAAGTATCTTTTACCCTCACATGTGTCTCTCACCCTCATAAGTATCTTTCACCCTCACGCCTGTCTCTCACCCTCACATGTGTCTCTCACCCTTACGTACATCTTTCGCCCTCGCACATACCTTTCACCATCATAGGCATCGTTTACACTCACACATATCTTTCGCTCTCACGCGTATCTTTTACCCTCACACGTATCTTCCACACCCATAAGTATCCTTCACCCTCACACGTGTCCCTCGCCCTCACAGGTGCCTCCCACCCTTACACGCACCTTTCACCCTCACACGTATATCTCACCCTCACACATATCTTGTATCTCTCACTCTCACATTTGTGTTGAGCCAAGCATTCTACCTGTGGGGTTTCAGGGGGCACAGACCCTAGAACATCATCGGCTTTCTTAGCTATCAAACCCAAGGTAACTCATGTATTTGCGAGAAAACCAAGGCGGCCGGTGCCCAAATATGTCCAAAGGCTGACCGCGCCGATCAGCCGAGGCGGTGGTGCAGTGCGGCCCTGGCCGCTGGCTGCTGAACCCTGATCCCTGATCCCTGACTTCTGCCTCCGGAATTATGACCCCTGACTCCTCTCCTGACTTCTGAACTCTGATCCCTGATTTCCGACTCCTGATCCCTGACTGATGACCCCTGACCCCTGATCCCGACCCATGATCCCCGACTCCTGACCCCTGAACCCTAAACCCTAACCTATGACCCCGATCTCGCCACCCACCTGGCTGGGCGTCTCCACGCCCTGGAACTTCTCCCCCACGTTGAGGTCGGTCCTGCGGCTGCCGAAGTAGTCGAGGCTCTCGCCTGCCGTGGAGAACAGACCCGTCTCCACCATGTAGACGCAGATCATGGTGCCTGTGCGCCCCTTGCCGCCCTTGCAGTGCACGGCCACCACGTGCTCGGCGTCGGCGTTCAGCCAGCTGATCACCGAACTTGTGAAGTCCAACATCTGCCTGCGGAGAGTTGTGGTGAGTAGGAGCGATGACCGCGCTGATGAGGCGTGCGGGCTGGACACTAGACGACTGGTGACAGACGATATGCTGCACGAGCTTCGGAAATCAAATCTCACATTAATCTTTGCATGCTTTCGGAAATGTATCCTGGCATTGTGATGGAAGATCTGGTACACGGTACCGGCATCTGGCACCTGGTACACGTGCTTGAAGGCTGGTCGACCGGATCGCGACACTTGATAATCCGTATAACATGATAATGACGCAAATTATCCGAACAACCGGATGCTCGCCGATTATCCTCGCAGCGCAGATTATCGTCGGCAGCATTTGCGCCTCTACTGGATCTCCCAGTGCTTCCGCCGCTTACGGAAGCCGTAGAACATGCGCCTCTACTGGATCTCCCAGTGTTTCCGCGGCTTACGGAAGCCGTAGAACATGCGCCTCTACTGGATCTCCCAGTGCTTCTGCCACTTACTGAAGCGTTGGGACGTTGTGGTCGTCGATGACAACGCGCTGAACGTGCCCTTGGAAGTAGGTGACGTCGTACGATCTTTCCGAACACAAATTGTAGATCATGTACTTGTCCTTGTGCTGGGTGTTGAAGAATCTGCTGACCTCCTGGAAAGAGATAGCAACAGATGTGACCGCAGTAACTTGGTTTTCTACGCATACATGCTAGGTTTGTCGGTCATGCATTCAGGCGAGTGTCTCGGTGGTCGATGCACCGAAAAATGTCGCATTGATGACATGTTTCTTTTTATCGGTCACTTGTATTTGCTAACAGTTAAATCCAATGTGCTGTATTGAATTACCACTGTTTTCAGTTGTAATTGCCACTATCTTGCATCGAACTACCAACCGTCTTAACTTTTAAAGCAGAGCCTGCGGATGGATTGCACAACAAGAGCTAAAAGCCAGCAAAGTGTTCCTTTCTTTCAGTAGGCGATGTCACCAGATTCTGCGAAGTGCATAACTACGGAAAACATGTATAGTGGTTCTGGGAATCCAAAGTGCTTAACCTGACATTTTTTGTTTACAAAGTTTCACTGTCAGCAAGTATTCTTGTCAAAGACAACATTGATGTTGCTGTTGTCAACTGCTTCCATGGCCAGCCATTTTTCGATGATATCGCAACATTGATCACAGAAATTGTACCCCGCGCAAAAGTTACTGAAGGGTTGAACGTGCATAAACTGACAACATAGAACAAGTACCCAAAATATAATGTATATGGATACCGGACACTTAAAATGTTGACTCAATAGATAATTCGTAGCTGAAGCCGGGAACTGACTTATATTATGTAACCAATACGGCATCTTACACAAAACAACTTGATCCGCTATCTTAGCCAAGCGATGGCGACACCCTGCTTACCGCAATCGGATTCCTGTAGACGGACATTTTTCCGGAGGACGGAAAGCTCGTAGCGATTACGCGCTCTGTCACATAGCAAAGGTCAAGGTCAAATCCGTCCTGCTGATACCTGTAAAAAAAAACATTTTTTTAGTGCGGCAAAATGGACACTGGTCAACCGCGGAAAACGTGCCATCCTTTTGTCTGTCCTCACCAGGGCAGAGACATATCATTCGAGACATCTTGAGTAGGCTGCACCTGAGTTCAGCTCACAGACTGCACTTGAGCTCAGCGCACAGACTGCACCTGAGTTCAGTTCACAGACTGCACCTGATGTGACGCCGAGATGAACCTGACAGGTGCCAGGGACAGTCTGACCTTGCGCAGCTCAGACGCAGAGCAACGTCGTGTCCACAGGGCGCGGCGGTAGAGGTTAACGACTGCAGACGATGCGCATATACAGCATGAAAAGTCCGTTTTGTTGACTTGCGAACGGTATTAGACCAGACAGGAGGCACGCTTGCACCGACTCCACTACGCCACGCTACGACTCCACGACTCCGACTCCACTACGCCACGCTACGACTCCACGACTCCGACTCCACTACGCCACGCTACGACTCCACGACTCCGACTCCACTACGCCACGCTATGCGCACCGCAGCGCTGCGCGACGCCGATGTCACATGTTGCCGGAACTGGAGCCGGCCTCCCAGCCCGCCCCGCCCCTGCCTCCGCACCAAGCCAGCGCGGCGGCCCGGAGACGGAAGGCCGGAGTCACTCACCTCCGCTTGTTTTCCGAGATGATCTGCCGGGCGGCGGTCTTCAGGTGATCCTGCTGCGCGCAGATCCGGAACAGACGAATCACGCGGATGATGCGAAGCGACACCACCAACCTGGAGAAGCAGGCCGGTCAGAGCCACGCCCGCCGGTCGGTGTTCGCAGGCCACGAATAAGTGGTCTTACCATGTGGCCGAATCTGGTCGGAATCTGGCACTTTGCAACTGATTTAAGCACTTGATTTAAGGCTTGCACTGATTTATGATGATGATGAGCACTGATTTAAGGCTTGAACTCCTGCTTTTCTCGGCACTGTGAGTTGGGGGATCCTATCCTGGTGATGATGTCAAAACACGGCGGTTGAAGCTGTGCTTATGGTCACGAGTGGGTACCGCTGGTCACGAGTGGGTACCGCTGGTCACGAGCCAGGCTGTCTTTGTCCAGCTGTGGTGTCCAGCATGGCCTCAGCCAACACCGCAGATGCTGCCTGATGTGATATTTTAAGGTGTTATAGGTGTATATCAAATATAATTATAATATGTAAATACAAATGCGTATACAATGTAATCATATAATTGTATTTTATAAATGTATATGGTATAAGTATATTTTCTAATGTATATAAAATATAATCATAAAATTACATAAGGTGTATGACTAAAAGTGTTCGATACATCCAGGTGCGACGCGGTCATACTTGGAGCCGTCGGTGGCCATGTTCTCCACGGTCAGATCCAAGACGGATGTGATGAACGTGACGACAACCACCGCGAAGTCCACGATGTTCCACCACGCATGGTGTCTTGTGAAGTTGAAAAAGTACTTCGGACTGAAAGGGACGCCACATGTCAACCAGCGAGGATGATGAGTGAAACTGGGGTATGAGGGAAGCGGTTAGTGCAATTGCGAGGAACATTATGCACATAGATAGGACAGTAGTAATAGCCTTGTTCCTCGGGGGAAAACGGAAGAATGGAAAAATGGATGCGTTGAAGTTTCCTCAAAATGTCTTTATCGGAACGAAAAACAGAAGTGAACTCCCGTCTATTTGCACAGGTGACGGGCTTATGTGGTTTGCCATGCCCACGTTAAGCCACATGGCCATGAGGGACAGTGCGAAAGCAAATAATTCACTTCTGCTCTTCGTTTCGATAAAGACACGTTGATGAAATATCAACGCATTTTTACCTCCATTCTTCTGGTTTTTCTCCGAGGAATATGTTTTTTACTGCTGTCTTTCAAGGATATGAAGTCATGCACGCATGCACGTGATGAGCCGGACAGCCAGGGCGTGGGACACCCATCACCGCTGCCCCAGCAGACACTGGGGTACATCCTAGCGCACCGGACGCTAGGGAGTCTGTACTTATCCGCACCTTTATCGGCATTTATGCTAATGAATCGGTCCGGCGTTAGCACCGTTTTGTTTCCAACCGCTCACAAACAGAAAGGTGAGTGTCAGGACGCGCGAAAGGAGATGCAAATTCACAATGCAGCTTGAGCAAGCTGCTTGCCTGGAGAGTAGAGAAAAATCGACATCGCTAGTGATTTGGCTCGTCTCTTGCACGCACGTTAACGGTTTTATGAGGGACCATGTTCATCACGATGTCGAAATATCGGAGCCAGTTGGTCACTGGGGCACGAGTCTCAAAGTCAAGTCAAGTCTGCGTAGTATAAGCAAATGTACCCATTGCGCTGATTCAAATAACAAAGTACTACCCCAGCATTCGTATCGAAGCGATTCAACTGTGTCGGCCTAGGAGGCGGGAGATACCGCAGGTCAAGGAAAAACATTCCAATGATTTCGAGAACATCACTCCTCTCCGAAAACCAGAGAAATGAGGAGATCTGAAAGAGCCAGGGCACGTGAATGCATACAGTAGACACTCCGCACGTGCACCTTAATGCAGCAGACACTCCGAACGTCCACCTTAATGCAGTAGATTGCACGTCCACCTTAATGCAGCAGACACTCCGCACGTCCACCTTGATGCAGTAGACACTCCGCACGTCCACCTTAATGCAGCAGACACTCCGCACGTCCACCTTAATGCAGTAGATTGCACGTCCACCTTAATGCGGTAGATACTCCGCACGTCCACCTTAATGCAGCGGACACTTCGCACGTCCACCTTAATGCAGTAGATTGCACTTCCCCCTAATGCAGTAGATACTCTGCACGTCCACCTTAATGCAGTAGACACTCCGCACGTCCACCTTAATGCAGTAGACACTCCGCACATTCGTCACATCTCTTAATTGCTCTGTGTCAGGTAGACCATGAGCGGTGAAAGTGCCAGACTTTCGTTCTGCCTCATTCTATTATTTTATGGAATGTAATAATGCCTCACAAAAGTTTCGCCAGGCTCTGGAAGAATTACCTCCGACCGTGAATAAGCCGCAGAAATATATGTATCAACAACGGAAAATGGAAGCAGAAAAACACTTCCCGAGACCAGCGCGTTAAACGAATCTGCCCGAATGGAGGCAAACAGCGCCTGACAAGCATGCACGCGCACAGCAAAGCCGCCGTGACAGATGACAGCCGGCGCCCGTCAGCTCGGCGTGATAACAAAAGGCCGGGGACCCATGCGACGCGGTTTTTTTTTGTCACAACCCGACCCCACTCTGGGTGGGGCGGGGGGGGGGGGGGGCGCTCGATGCCCGCCAGCAGGGAATTCCCATATGGCACGCCCAGCGACGCTAAATTTCAGCGACAGTCATGATAACAGTCGTGGCTGGTCTCCCTGCAAGCCCCACAAGCGTCGCGCGACGGCACGCCTGGTGGTCACACGTGTGCCATCGGAACACGCACGCCTGGTGGCCACGTGTTCGCCAGTGGAGCACGCACGCCTGGTGGCTTCATGTACACCCGTGGAACACGCACGCCTGGTGGCCACGTGTGCGCCAGTGGAGCACGCACGCCCGGTGGCCACATGCGCGCCAGCGGAATACGTGGCCGCAGCGAGGCAAGGCAAGTGCGCCGAGGAAGATCGATCAAAAAGCGTCTCAATTTTCAATCGTGATATGCGTGGATATAGTACAAACGTATTGTGCGCATTTGATGTGGTGGTTTCATGCTGCACATGCATATCAATACCGGTGATCACCCTTGGAGTCACGAACGCAGAGAACCGTGTGCAGCAGTAATTAGGGGGGGGGAGGCGATGCAAGAAGATAAGGTATACGAAATACTTGCGCGCGCCCTTAAAGTATACAAGCCTCCAAAACAAATCGAAACGTAAACGCCTTTTCTTATCTTATATAGCACCTACTTTTTTGTAGAAGCTTACACTGACCACTATCATCATGGCCATTACATCATCGCAAGCACTGCGATGACTTGAAATGGACGCTTTGTGCCCTCCCCTTCCAATTTTGTACATGTACCAACATGCAAATGACTAAATCTCCACAACCGAAAAACCTTGCGGTAGACACGTAAAAATAAGTAGATTGAAAGCATGCGATGCGATTTCTCGCCATGCAAGAGATGTCGCATAAGAGATGTGGATCATGCAAGAGATGTCGAGATGTCGCATAAGAGATGTGGCGCAAAAGGCGATTTTTGGTGACACTATTAAGCTGCCCCCCGCACCCCCGTCCAACTGCGAAATCCTGCATGCCGCCCCCGTCCAACTGCGAAATCCTGCATGCCGCCCCCGTCCAACTGCGAAATCCTGCATGCCACCCCCGTCCAACTGCGAAATCCTGCATGCCACCCCCGTCCAACTGCGAAATCCTGCATGCCACCCCCGTCCAACTGCGAAATCCTGCATGCCACCCCCGTCCAACTGCGAAGTCCTGCATGCCACCCCCGTCCAACTGCGAAATCCTGCATGCCGCCCCCGTCCAACTGCGAAATCCTGCATGCCACCCCCGTCCAACTGCGAAATCCTGCATGCCACCCCCGTCCAACTGCGAAATCCTGCGTGCGACCTTGTTTGCACTGCCTTCAAGCATAGGACAACACGAAAAGTTGCATCGCACGCTTAGGTGGGATGGATGATACGTAGCAAACAGCACACTGTCCAGATGACTGCTTGGACAGCCTCAGGAGTGGTGTGCTATAGCGCTATCGTGCTATTGCGCTATCTCTAGCACTGCTGTCGCCGCCCAGTCCTCTGGCTGCTGTTTGGGATAGCAGCAGCAACGCTTTTGGTTGGACGCAGATGACTTCGTACTTAGTTGAGGGGCCCACCCTCCCCCAACCCCAACCTCAAGCTGGAGAGGAAAGTGAACCAAACTTGGGGGAAAATCCACTTTTATCACTTTTGGTGTTGGGTTCTGCTCTTTCTCCTGCTCAGCTCCCCCCCCCCCCTCAACTTATTTTGTGAACTATGTTTCTGGTAGAATACAAGCCCCGGAAATAACAAGTACAGGCCTGAACATACGACGTGCAGAACTGTCAACAAGTCGACCATTCACGAAGATTGCACAGACTCTGACAGCATACCGACCAAACACACTCCACGATGCTCCACATTCACTCACCCCACACCGAAGATCCTGAGAGAAACCTCCAGAAGAAAAAAGCACGAGAACGCAAAGCTCACGATCGCCAGCTTCGCGTCCAGCTTGCTCGTGAACTCGTTGGTCAAGTCGACGATCACTATCGATATGTCGACGAGGATGAGCACCAGCACGAACAGGCGACACGCCAGATGCTCCACCGTGCGGCGCACCTTCCAGCGGATGTAGCTGAAAAACAGCGAGGCGGCACACCCTCAGTCATGCCTGCGCGGTAGCGCTCTGCGAGTGTGTGACGTCACAAGTGCGCCACGCGCTGTGCTGCCATATGTTCGTGCTTGGCCGGTTGTTTGTTGTGCGCGTCTTCAGCATACTTGGTTAGATCCTGTGAATGGTTTCAATGCCTGCTTTGACATGCAAGCATGAGGACACTGGAATAATTATTCTTCCGTAGTCTCAAGGTGCTTAAGAACTATAGATACTGTTGAGTTTCTATGGTGTGTTCATAATGTCAGCGACGATTATGGTCGTACGTGAAACGCCCGTCCGCAGGACAATCAGAATTGGGACCTCGGGTTCCCCGCCCAGAGCGCATACAGGCTCAACAGCCGGGGCGACCGGAGAGAAATTAGCTGAAATACAGGCCCAACAGTCAGGATAACCATGGATAAGTTAACTGAAATACAGACCCAACGGCCAGGGCAACCAGAGATAAGTTAGCTGAAATGTAGGTCCGAAAGCCACGCCTATACGAAACTGGACGGCTGAACTCAGACTTTTCAGCAAGGCAATGCCAGGCGGGACAGTTATCCAGCCACCCAGCTTTTTAGAGCAGCTAACTGAGCTGGAACCATCTTAAATGGTTTGCGTTACCCCGTCGCGCGGTGCCTACAGAGAAATGGCTGAGCACCGAGAAGACTCAATTTCAAACATGGCTGCACGCTAGATAGCATCACCTACCGTACAGTAAGCACCAACGACACCTCCCCAGCCCGCTATCTTTGGCGCGGTTCAAAAAATTTCCACGGACCGAACGAGAAAACGATTAAAACGATCTAAGGAGTGAGCTACTCGACAACATGACTCCCACTACAGAAACATCGCCCCGTGATGAGCCGAGGAGGTATTCGGACGCACTGGAAGTTGCAGCCTCTGTTGGGCGGCTTGGCCGGGTCGGCTATCCGGCTTTTGTACTCGATGGTGGAGTAGTCGAAGCCGCGGCCGTCCCCAAAGTAGGCGTCCTGCTCCGACTGGTCCAGGTACTCGCTGGTGCGCCCCAGGATCTGTTGAGGCAGGAGACTGGAATGCAACCGCTCATTGAAGATGCCCATTTACCTAAGCCAGCATAAGATACAAGACACGGGTGCTTTGTCTGCCTTTGCGCACGAGCTCAACCGGCCCACGCTGGGCGCTGGGTGGTGCTCAATCGGCCCAGTCAGCGCTGGGCGCTGAGCGCTGCTCAACCGGCCCAGTCAGCGCTGGGAGCTGAGCGCTGCTCAACCGGCCCAGTCAGCGCTGGGCGCTGAGCGCTGCTTGATGGGCCCAGCCCACTGCTGGCGTTACAGACGTAGACTCGGGAAAGGGGGAGGGGGGATGACGACGGGTGACTGAGTCCCCAACTTTCGGAAGATTTAGGATTGGTTCTAACTGGGCGTTAACTTGACAGAACCACAAAAAATATCACCGACCCCCGAGCAGGACTTCCGCTGCCCCGCAGACACGCCATTGGAACTTAACACTTAAGCAAAAGCACAAATTCCTCACCTCTCCGATCTTCTTCGGGTTTCCTCTGTACGGTAGCCCGGAGTCTTCGGTGGGGTCAGCGTTTGCCTGATAATACGAGCTGCTACGCCTCGGCCCCCGGGGACTTCCCTGCAGACGGGACATTTTCGACAGCATTCGTGAGTCACGGAACATCATTGGGGGGCGGGGGGAGGGAGCACAGGTCTTCGCAGGTCGTCAGTAAGTATATCAAGTGAAGAGCGCTTACTGCATGTCATTACCGACGTGCTGGAAGGTGAAGGGTGGAGACATGACAGTTGGGTCATTCACAGGTTAGGTGTAGTGATTTTACCATTTTACCATTTTTGTGGTCATGATCATTCTGGCAACCGAACAGACAGAACCGTTATCACAGCAAGCCGGCGTTGTCCCTGCATTGGATTTGATCCCGGCCGACGTGAAGGGTGTCTCCGTACTTTGAAACCGAATAATTGTGGAGCATGTGCCGTGTCTGCTCATCCAGACAATTTGATGATTTCAACAACAAAAAAATAATGGCTTCAATGGGCACAAACGATCGCCGATTTTGGCGCGTCCTAACACGCAGTCCGTGATTGCTTTCAGTTCCCCCGCGTCCACCGGCAATTGTGCCGAGAACCCATCAGCAATCTCGGGCACACTTGTCCGCCAGACAAATGACGTCAGCGGGCCGGCTGTGACGTCAGCGGGTTGCCGCACCTGTGGAGACGATCCCACGTTGCGGTGGTGCCCGTTGTGAGACGCATCATGACTGTCGCTGGCGCCGCTGTCGTGGCTGTCGCCGCTGGTGAGCCAGCGAGAGCTTCTGGAGAGCACCGAGAACGCGGCGAGAACGCAGTTAAAGTCGGAGACAGAGCGAGCGGTCGGTTGCACAGTGACTTCAGCGGGCACATGATTGTGCGTCGTTACCGACTGGAAAATGGGACGTTTCGCAGGGAATTCACCAAGGCCAGCAAAGTTATTCACCAAGGTAAACAATGGCGGAAGGCTGAGGCAAACAATCGGTCGAACCCTTTCAACACACTGTCATTTGGTATAAAGCTGTAGATAGCGCTACACCACACACAAAAGCCGTCGATAGCGCTACACAAGGTAGGAATTCCCTTGCAGCGCCTTTACCAGCGTAAATAATCAAATACACAACCACGTAGAGGCTAAGCTGATACATAAAAAAGCTGTATCACTTTTTCTATTTGTACGGAGGCAAAGCTCAAAGATATATGAGAGGTATTCATTGCGTACAAGGCGCCAAAGGTGACCGTTCCGGTCTCAAATATACAGGAAACATTACCACGGGAGATCGCCTATGGCCTTTGGACGCCACGCAGCGAACCCACAGTACTAATTAATCCAACGCGCCTGAATTTTCAGCTTTCTGCTCAAAATGTCGCAGGGTTGAATTGACTTCTATTCAGATTAAAAGACCGCCGGTGCACAAGCCTGGTGCTACCAAAAATAGCTCTGTCATCGCAAATGCTTTTAGACGAGTGTGCACTCTGACCCATAGCACACCAAAACACATGAATGTCACAATCACAGATAGTAGCCTGTCACATTAAGTTATAACGAATGCAACACATAAAATGTGTTTTGTGTTTTAAATACACATAAGGTCTGATACCGCTCATTTTTTCCGCATCCGTATTGCACCTTTAAATCGCCAACAACATCCCCTTCTGCCACTCTCATCCGCCAGCATGTTTCCAAATGTACCAGGTGCGCTTACGCTTCAAGCTCTACGTAACCGCCAGCGAATGTGGCTGGCTCTGGCAACTTTACGGGGCGCAATCTTCCGTTGGCAAATTCATGCGAACCTTACGACGCCGCGCGTTGTGGTGCGCTAACGTGCTACCACACGCTATCGTGCCGACACACGCTATCGTGCTGACACACGCTGTCGGGCTGCCACATGCTATCGTGCTGACACACGGCTGATTATGTTGTGGTTCAGGGCACTCCGTTTGTCCGTTTGCGAAATCTAGAAGAACTGGCAGGTTGAACAGCGCGGGCTCACGACCATAAATTTTCCGTGTGCGTTTATGTAAGCAGGATCATGACAATTTGGGACATTACCACAGCTTTGAAAGATCAACTAACTTGTAGCATAGCAGCCTGGAGTCTGAGGGCATCGAACGCAAATGCAGTGAGGCCGTGGGAGCGAACGCAATGTCTGTAACTCGCGATGACCAGACGACGACGACGATGACGACGCAGACAAACTCCACCCATGTCTGAAACGTTGCGGACAATTCATTTTCACACAATTCTCCGTTGCTCACCGCTTCAAAATCCCGTTGTTGTGAGCCTTGTCCCTCAGCACGGTCGCCGGGGGGTGAGCGGCGGCCGGCTTCTTGTCAACGTCGTCCATCTGCACCGAATTCGATCCGTTCATGGACATCTGCACCCATCATTTATACCCATGCGCCCATGCCCATACCACTCCCATGCACAGAAGATTGCATGACGCTCCCCGTACCCTATCTTTGCCACCGCTTGGCCTCGATGGTAACGCACCGATACGCTACGCGGGGCCGTCGAAGCAAACGTGCAGTCATTGCCCCACGTCATACAGAGGCGCTCAAGTGCGTTTGCAAGCGCTGCGACGCCCCGGGCCAGAGTGAGCATCTAGAAGATGAGGCAGCTCAGCGCTGTCTGAAAGCCGTCCGTCAATACGCCGCAGCTTCCTCTGCCCGACGTCGGGGGCAGCACCAGCTCGATGTGCCTGTGTTGTGTGCCATTGGGGCTTTATGACGCATCCAGCTGCTGAGGCTATATGGCGTAGCCTGCTTTTCACCCTGGCGAGAAGGGTGGGCATCGCGGGGAATCGAACTCCGTACCTCTGGCTTCCCAGACGCGCAGCTGTTAACGCATACGCGTCAACCACGCATTAACCACTACACTACCGGCACCCCCGAATGCGCCTGTGTTCGTGATATGGGAGTGTGACAGATCTCGGAGGAGTAGCCGCGAGATCATCAAAGTTAGAATGCGGCCGTAAATCTTTTGATTATTTTATCGTGTGCATCACTGCCCTGGTCTGTCATGGTAAATCTTTCTATTATTTTATCGTGTGCATCACTGCCCTGGTCTATCATGGTAAATCTTGCCATTGTTTTATCATGTGTATCACTGCCCTGGTCTGTCATGGTAAATCTTTCGATTGTTTTATCGTGTGCATCACTGCCTTGGCCTATCATGTAATGTCTCAAGGCGATCATGACTATGTCGGGAAGACCGGAGACGAGATGGTTGTCAACGTAGAACAGCGAACACGACAGGAAGTCATGAGGCCAAAATCAGCACATAAAGGTGCAAATGTCTGCTTCGAGCAAGCGTGCCCAGCTCGAGTTGCTGATATGTCTGCTTCGAGCAAACATTCCCATGTTTTTATTCGGGGATAACGTCCAGTCTATCAGTCCAACGCGGACCGCCCATGCCAGCCAAAAGCAACATTGGACACACACTGAGGAGCAAGTGACATTTGGAAAATTTTGGAAATTTGGATCTTTGGCATTGGGTTAGAGAGCTTCAAAAATAAGCTAACCCAATCCTATTTCCAGCTAACCTTTTCTTCCAATAACGAAATTAGGCTTAAAAAACGCGAAATCGGAGCGACCAAAAATTAAAATTAGGTTCACCACGCAATGCCAGGTCAAGTCATGACCGTATATTAAGTCATCACAGCGCAACAAGTTTTCAAAACGTTTTGTTGACATCTGACGACAAACCGCTTTCATTCGGTCCCAGGGCTACGCTTCTTACGTATGAAGCACCAACAGAATGACCACGCGCGGTTCATCACGCCGAGGCATCATTGTCTGCTGCGCTCTGCACCCAGTGTGAGATTGTGTCATGCAAACATCCATCCACATCTACGTTTCAACGCCTAGTGATGGTAAATTCCTCAAAATATCTCAGTTTGACACCACTTGTGACATCATCAGTGACCTTCAGGTAATCAAGAAGGTTTTTGTGTCGGAGGAGCCAGGAAATTTAGCTTGCAGTAACTCCTTGAGCGAACCAAATTAATGGGCTCCAGACCATGAAAAAGGACTCCCCGACAATAATTGAAGGCGCCTGAATGTCTCAGCCCAGGTCAGGTTCCGAAGTAAAAAGCCACCTTGGGCGACCATACTCAAGTCAAGGCTCATTGTTTTACATGGTTAAAGTTAATGTTGATGGTAAATGATAACCCGATGTCGACCAGACAAATTATGCGGTGACAACTTGGATCGGAACACCCTGCATGGTTTTCCGAAACGCTGCGAGCATTCTGCCTAAAAAACGAAAATATCGCATCATGGTACTTAACCACGACTATGTTACCGGAGCGTGAGCATGCCGCCTCAGTAACTGTAATGGCGTGACCTATGACAGCTGCGGCGCCACAGCGGTGCAGCCGGGATTTCCTTAAGGGAGGGTGCCAGAATCTGGGTGAGCTTGCGGCACGCCGACGTTAAACTTTCTGCCGGGAGCCCTCTACGGCGAAAAACGGAAATCTGGACGAGAGGTAAGGCCGGGGGCCCTCCCCCCCCCGTTCCTCTCCCTTGACACGCCTCTGCGGTGCTGTGCTATTCGCGCATTCGGTGCATTGATCGCTGCATGGCCTGCCTCGCACGCGGCTTATCACGCCCAAACCAAAACGAAGCGGTCCTGCACCAACCTGTCCTGAATTGTCCCACTCGGGCGTCGGGGCGTTCAAAGTCAAGGTCAAGGTCAGAGGCCAGAGGCCACGCCGGCGCCCGCTTAACGAGAGCCATGTTCCAGCTCCAGGTCACCTGAGTCACCCTCACAGACGAGCCAACGCTGGTCTCCCTCCGCACGCCACTCGGCGCTGCCTTCCAAATCGGCGCGAGAACAGCAGCCACAACAGCAACAGCAGCAACAGCAACTGTGCGAGAACAGCAACCACCACCCTCACTTTCACCGCACAACCTCGATCGCCTCCAGCGCGGCGTAGCGCAGCCGCACCGCGCGAGAGAGCGCACGCCTCTGGCTCGCGATCACCCCAGTAGCTTGAGTTGTCACCAGCTGATGCGCGTCAACGAGGCCCCTCGACAGGCCCCCGGGCCTGCTGCCGTCCATTCCTCACCGCGCGCCACGCGTCACACATCCGCCTCACGCGCCGGCCGCCGCAGCCCGGCACAGCTCGTCACGTGACACCGGCTGTGACGTCACCGTAGGCGGAGGGCGGCGCCAGCACCAGGGAGGTGAGCGCTCGATGCCCCGTGCGTGGCTCTCGTACGCAGCAGCGGCCGCTGCTGCGGGGGAGGCGCGCCGTGCTGGACGCCTGCTTTCACACGTGAACCGGAGAGTGAACTATGAACCCTGTCTTTGCCAAGGTGAGAGCGGTGGCGACTGTGGCTGGTGCCGCCTCTGCCTCGCCGGTGAAAGGGGCTGCACCGCCGGTGAAAAACAATTGAGCAATGCTGGTTCATCATTCAGAAACACACGTTGCCGTCACTGCATAACACGGGTGGGTGCAGGACGGCCGTCCATAACTCGTAATACGCGTGTGGAGACAGGGCCTTTTGATGGGGTGTAACCGAAAAGCAAGGAGGGGAGGACGTACAGGCCGGCGGAACGTTAGGCTCCGGTATTCCTGCAAATCAGTGAGGAATCTTTAGAGGAAACAGCGTACGCTGAGGGAAGGGTTGGGTTCCGCCTGGCATAACTCATGCATAACCGGCGGTCGGGTGTAAAAATGACTCAAAACATGCGCACCGTAAGAACAGATGGCTCCAAAGCACTCTCCACGTTCTGCTTAAGGTTTCAAAGCGCGGGCAAAGGTGTAGCCAGGGATGTCAGCTTACCAGAAAACAGCTCTGCCTCGTGCGCATAACTAATATGGTTGTCGTGCTCAGTTACGTGGGTAGGACTTTGACCAGGAGGGGTCACATCGGGTTACAGGTGTAGTCCAGGGGCCCTCTCGTCGCCAAGGGACCCTGTGTTTGGACGCGGAGCCTTTTCAGGTTCGCGATCCTATGTTGGTACCTTGAAGGTTTGTTTGTTATCTTCTATAAGCGCTACGGGCGCCTCAGACTGCCACAGAGCACTCGCCTGTTCGACCTCAGTGCCAAAGCCCGCCACCCCCAATGGGGAGAAGCGCAGTCCAAAAAGCGTCCCCTCTTGGCTGCGCTAACGGCTGTATTTTTAATATTTATTCCCAGCCTTTCAACCGTATAATGCCTGCGATCAGAGTTAAGCTAAGCAGTGATTATTGTCCGAGCCCTGACGCGTGTCCTTTTTTGCCAGTGCGAGTCTGTTCGCCCGCTGCAGTGGCCATCCCGACGCGGCTATTACGGCAGCGACTCTGACGTCATAAAAACACACCATAACAAAATGAAAAGCTGTCGCAATGCGAAGCACATTTACTTAATAGTGCAATTTTGTTATCTAGAGCAGGCTTTTGCACTTAAAAGCATACCATTAGGCAGAGGCGAGCGTTTTCCATCATATCTGACGTTTGCCTCATTATCTTCAAATTTGGAACATTGCCTTCAGTATTATCCAAAAACATTCAAAACTGGCGGACCCAAGGTTTGCGCTCACGAGAGCGTGCGGCCGTCTGCCTCATCGACCCACACTTTTGCCGGCACGAGTTTCCGTTTTGCCTCCAGCGGAATCTCTTAGTTGCGTGTCGTCGCGGCGCTAGGTCATTAGCACCTTGCCCAGTTTCGAGCCATACTGTTCAACTTTTCTCAAGCTGAAACGCTTTCCATTTTCAGGTTTATCAAATGAAGGAGACACAAACCATGGCCAATGGTCATGGTAATGGTATGGCAATTATGGTAATGTTGCAATCAACACCCGCCTGATCAAACCTCTTGCATGATAATGCCTGACGATTTATGTGGCACGACTTCTAAAGCATTGCGTTTTTCGGTGCTGAACACGGCACGAACGCGGGATCAGTGGCTGCCAGGGTATTAGCTAGAAGAAACCATCGCGCTCGGGCTTTGCCGGGCCACACAACTTGAAAATTACATCAGTTCAGGGAAGACTCGCTCGTCCTGCGGACTCGCAAGGATATGACCAGGATATCCGTCGATCCCTGCATATCTGTCGATCCATCGATCCATCGATCCATCGATCTCTGTCGATCCGTCGCTCCCGTATATATGTCGATCCGTCCATCCCGTCGATCCGTCTATCCAGTCGATCCGTCCATCCCGTCGATCCGTCCATCCCGTCGATCCGTCCATCCCTGCCGATCCGTCCATCCCGTCGATCCGTCGATCCCTGCCGATCCGTCCATCCCGTCGATCCGTCCATCCCGTCGATCCGCCCATCCCGTCGATCCGTCCATCCCGTCGATTCGTCCATCCCGTCGATCCGTCCATCCCGTCGATCCGTCCATCCCGTCGATCCGTCCATCCCGTCGATCCGCCCATCCCTGCCAGTTCCACTGTGTTCCACCAGACTGTGTGTGTTACTGCACTGCAGCGGCGTGCAGTAACACACACAGTCACAAGCTGTGTTTGGTGCGGCGCGGCACGGACGCCGCTCTGCGCAATCCAAGTTGATGGCCGGCTGCGAAGTCAAAAGAGGGGGAGGGGGGTGGACGCGGCGGAGCTGGAGCTATAGCCCCTCCCCCTCCCCCGGCACCGTCAAATGGAGAGGGAATTTCATTAAGCACGGCCTGACGTCCATTCACCCAAATAGCCGCGGGTGGGGAGCGGTGCAGACAGAACAGGCGCCGCTGGGGCGGCCCAGGCAGCGGCCTCGGCAGACCTGGGCTTGTCTGCTGCCTGTACGCCAGGCGGTCGTCAGTATAGCGGCATTATTAACTTAATATTTGGTATTTGCCTAGCACCGGCACCAGCACCACACATCGGGTCGATCAAGAGCTTGCAAGTGTTGGCTGTTACCGACACTGGGTCTGAATTTCATTCCATTCACTTGCGGGGCACCATTTCCTGGGGTCGGCAAAAGTCACGCGCAGGCTCCGCCCCAGTGCCGTCGTTACTGATGCCGTACAGGCTGCCAGCAGCACTGCGGCAAAATATTGCGCCCGTCTTCGCTGGCGTCACCCCAGCCACTGACGGTTCCGGAGCTTCGTGAGCGAAAGTACGCTTCTCCACAAGTTGAGCATCCGTCGAGACGGCCGTTGAGGGTTGCTGCTGGGGGGAGAGAAGGGGGGAGGGGGGGAGGGGGGGGGGGGCGGCGTCAGTGGCGGCGCCAACCGGCCAGGTATGTTATCCATCCACATAACACAAAGCTGGGCACCATTCGCCGGTCCAAATACCTCCGGCGAGATTACGTTGATACGGCGCGCGCGTGCTCCGCCGGGCCGTGACGGCGCGGCGGTAAACACGTTGGCAAAGTGGGGCGCAAAAAAAGGTGAAAAACAGACCGTCCGCCGTATTCGCCGGCGGTATTGAATTAGCCCCCAAGCAAATCAGCTTAGCAGCTGTTTTGCAGCGCCATGGAACCGAATAAAAAACATGGAAATTTTGTTTGCAGTGAGATGGCTCCACAGCGGCTCAGGACAGCTCGTGTTGATGTCCCCCCCCCCCCCCGCTCATGCCACATGTGTGACCCTAGGACTTGGGGGGCTGCGAACCTCGGAACATGAATAAATGTGGTGCCGTCAGATGCAGTTCCGCAAGGTCAATTTTGTGATTCTAAGCGGCATCTGCACAGATAATGGCTGCGCCTGGGGTCAAGGCGCCATCATTTTGGTCATCAATAATATTTGTTCTGGTTTGGTTATGCTTTGTCCAAGCATTGATGTAACGCTAAATTGAGCAGAAATAACGGCGATTCGTAGCACAACAAACTATGCTGAAACAACGGACCCTGAAATGCGGATGGATATTTTACTCTGCACAGAAGCCTGAGTATGTAGGTTTCGCGAAGTGAGCATATTCTGAACAGCGCGTCCTTATTGAAATAGATTAGTACATTATAAGCTGCTACGGGAGTTGAGACAAAACCGATTTCGGGATAAAGTTCGTCGGTTTCATCACTCGGTAGCTGGTGAACAAAGGCTACGTCATCTGGCTGAAGAAAAACACGTGACAGTGTCGAATGCGGATCACGTTGTTGAGTTGAATGATCAACATTTTTGACAGTTTGAATTACGAGTTGGACAGAAAAATTCTATGACAAAAAAGAATCATGTCAAATAGAAAACATGAGGTGCTGAGGAAGAATTTCATTACACTAACGTGCAGGCCGAGCCGAGGGAAGCTGAAGTTGTTACGTACCTAGCATTGGAGTTTCGACCTAAAATGTGTCACTCGATCTTTAATAAACCGTAATTATGCGCCAAGTACTAATTTCTTACCCTGTTTGGATACACCTTATCACAACTTATATATATACATATATATATATATATATATATATATATATATACATATATATATATATATATATATATATATATACGCTCTGGTCGATAATACCCGCTTAAACATGACTATGCTTCGCACTGTCAGAGCACCTTCGATGCCAACATTCACGCGAGCAGCGGGGTATGTGGTGACCTTTTGATCCGCGCTGCAAGCATGCCATTACGGTCTGCTGCCGGCCAAACGGCCCATTGAGTGCAGCCGTAACAAAATGTGTAGCTTCATTACATCGCGGCGATGCTTGGAATACACCATGATGTGAGTTACATCCAGCGTAAACCGACTAGTCTGTACAGATTTTTCTTCATTCGGTACCTGTTTTATGTAAGTTCTTCAGTGCATTGGTGAGAAACAGTATCCACACAGATTGACATAGATTGACATAGATTAGCGAGGCACATTATCCACTTCTGCTCTGGGTTCGATAAAGGCATGCTGCCGAAATATCAACCCATCTATATCTCTATTCTCCTGTGTTTTTTCTCCGAAGAATAAGGCTATTTCTGCTGTCCTGTCACAGCAACTATTTTCATTAAGTGACATGATCCCTCGGTGATTTCGTCATCACTGCAGGT